TCTGCTCGAGAATCGGGCATTACCTACATAATTAAAAAGGATGAGAAAGTAATTTAATTGGCTTCGCAATTAGAGATTATTTTAATAAGGCGTTTACTAATATTTCAGTGAATGACTTTTTAAATAATTGGAATGTTAATCAGGAATTAGCATCCAATTTCTCTTAGCATGACAATGCTGTATTGTGTATTGATATCTTCTAAATACAATGGCGTTTTTGATACTATTGCAAGATTTATATCTACTGCAAGGAATATTTATCAGCAATGCAAGAAGAAATAAATGTATAAATATAAAAAAGCAAATTGAAACCGAAAACATACACACGAAAAAAACATTGAAATAAGAAACATTAGCATGAATTATCGATTGAATGAAATGAGTAAACTAAACTGACTTTCACGATCAAAGCAATTTGCAGTTTTAGTCGAAACATTTCTGCATAGTAGGTAGTTCTCGATATCTATTTACTATCTCGGCGTAATAACTTATTTGAACAGAACAAACGAATCAAGACAACAAAGGCCGGTTACCTAATGAACCAGATTAACAAACGTACAATCACCGAATTCGAAAGTTTTTTCAAAACGTAATGCTGATATAACATATAGGCAATTCTTCGACGGATGTTTCGATAATTATTAAAACATAATTAAATTCATTAACATTGGCAAGGCTGGGCACTGACTTGTATTTTTTGTGGATGTCCTACTAAAGGAAAACAGGAATAGTGGTGACTGGCGTTATTTTTATATTACTATATATGATATAAGCAACATTACCAGTGAGATTTACCGCGAAGAACTGACGAAGGTATGCGCTAGAACCGCTGAGAAATGTATATAAATATTTGTTAACAAAAAAAAACGGCATTGGTTCGAGCTTTGTTGGTTAAACCAGAGCTAAAGTACGTTTTGAAACCGCAACAACCTCTAGAATTCGTTTGATTTACTTTAGGATGGTGAATTGGTTGATTTGGCTATAATTTCAGTCAACTGTGATTTAACAACATACTTGGCTTCAATTTGGCGAATAAATAAACCACATGCACTTGCAAAAATTGTTTTTAATACCCGACTGTGTTGATAAAATAAGAAATAGATTATTAACTGAAGGACTGTCTTCGAAAGCCTGATATTAGCTGTTAAACTTGAAAGTTTTGCCTCAAAATGTCTTAAACAAGTAAAATGACTGAAACAAACTTAATTCTACACAATAAACTGAATAATAGTTAGTATATATTTTGTCTATATCCTCCTTATAGTAGAAACCGCATTTCATGTGACTGTGCCATCTATAACATTGAATCCCAATGTTTTTTTCCACAAAGAATCTTACGCAAATGGGTTATACTGTCCATATAATTTCTATAATAGATATAATTCGTGAGAATTTCTTCGACTTGATTTCAAACGAGCTAAAAACATGATTTTATCACGAATTTCACGGGAATAATGTAAAAACTAGAAAAATTATTAATTTCGAATGGCCTCGCCTACATGTCCCAAAGCCCAAAATAGTCCAAAACCGATTCAATTTCACAATAATGTATCGGCCAGACAATTTATATTGTCTTAATATCCGAAAGCACTTTGTCACTCTCCAATTTTAATACTAATTCAAAAATTAGTCAAAACCGATACCATTTGGTTCGATTTCCATATTCATTCGACAACTTCAAACAGATAAAGCAAAAGCCCCTTTTCCGATTATTGTTTAAATAATGACTTCAGCTGATACCCGTTATGCAGATTAACAGTTTTTTGTTGACGACAAGTTTGACTGATGTCTGTTAGGCATAAATTCGGTTAGTTAATTATAATGTAATTTTTCATCTTGAAGGAGGGCCGTACAACAGTTTAAAAAGTCATTTATAAAATGGCATTAGCTCGATGCGTAACTTTCTTCGACTCGATTCCAGACTCTATCTATATTCGTTTAGTTTTGTACCCGAATGAATTATTAACGTTGAATGATGCCACTCGCATGCATGTCTTTGGTTGGTCATTTTTTCATTGAAAAATTGTCCAAGTAAAAGCGCAGTATTGACGGTAAAAATGACTCAAATTGTAACAAATCAGGTAAGTAACATTTGAGCTAAAATAAAATCTGTAAGCAAGTACTTAAGAACAGACAAACGAAATGCAGAAGCAAAGGTCAATGGAGATAAGACAAAACGTGAATTTCTAGAGCAGGTAGAAAAATTGTAGTAAAAGAATGGATTTTGAGCGGTCACTATCTTTGGCCGACGATATATTTTGTGTTATGGACCCAACACTTATGTATGCATATTTGGAAGCTACTTAGCTGGCAAATAATATATTGAGCCTAAAAAACACGAATGCAAAATTTTTGTTTTACCGGAAAATCTCATTATCGTCGATTGTTTTTGAAGATATTAAGTTTTCAAAATGTGTAAAATTTCACATAATTTTTACTTAAAGAACGCTAATAGTGTGACAAGCGCAATGAAAAAGACCTTAGACACATTCAATCCGAAATAATCGAAATTGCTTGACTATTTAAGTAGATTTTTGAGCGGTCACAATCTTTAATCGGTAATATTTTCCTTATTTTAAACCAAAAAACTTTATATTTGAATATTTGGAAAGTTCTTAGGTTGCAAATAAACAAACATGTTAATTTTTCATTTTGACAAAAATTTCACAAAGGTCAACTTTTTATATAAAAAAAATATAAAGTTTCTCAAAATGTCTAGTCTAAATATGATTTTTACTTAAAGGACACGAATAATGCAACAAATTAATTTAAAAACACGTTCGTAACATTAGATCCAAAATAATCGACATTTTTTTATTATTTTATTCGGGTTTTAAGTGCTCACAATCTTTAACCGGCGATATTTTCCTTATCATAAACCAAAATATTTTATATATGAATATTTGGAAAAGTTTTAAGTAGTAAACAATCTGTTGAGCGCAAAAAAATAAACATGAAAAATTTTAATTTTTTACCAAAAACTTCACAAGGGGTGAAGGTCGATTTTTTCAAAAGTATCAAGTTTCTCAAAACGTCTAGAGTTTCACATGATTTTTGCTTAAAGAACGCGAATAACGCAACAAATTAATTTAAAAACACGTTCGTAACATTAGATCCAAAATCAGCGACATTTTTTTATTATTTTATTCGGGTTTTAAGTGCTCACAATCTTTAACCAAATATATTTTCCTTATCATAAACCAAAATATTTTATATATGAATATTGGGAAAGGTTTTAAGTAGCAAACAATCTGTGGAGCCCAAAAAAATAAACATGCAAAATTTTTATTTTTTACCAAAAATTTCACAAGGGGTGAATGTCGATTTTTTCAAAAGTATCAAGTTTCTCAAAATATGTAGAGTTTCACTTCATTTTTACTTAAAGGACGCGAATGATGCAACTAATTAATTGAAAAATACGTTCGTAGCATTAAATCCAAAAAATCGACATTTTTTGACTATTTTATTCGGTTTTTAAGTCTCACAATCTTCAAGCGGCGATATATTACTTATCATAAACCAAAATATTTTAAATATGAATATTGGGAAAGTTCTTAAGTAGCAAACAATCTGTTGAGCGCAAAAAACAAACATGTTAAATTTTCATTTTTTACCAAAAATTTTACAAGGGGTGAATGTCGATTTTTTCATAAATTATAACGTTTCTTAAAATGTCTAGATTTYCACTTGATTTTTACTTAAATSACGTGAATAATGCARCAAATTAATTGAAAAACACGATTGAAGCATTAGATCCAAAATAATCGACATTTTTTTGTTATTTTATTCGGTTTTAAGTGATTCAGATCTGAAAAAATCRAAACTTTTTGTCCATTTTAAGCGGTCACGATTTTTAACCGATTATATTCTTCTTCTTCTTTTAAACTAAAATTATCTATAAATGCATTTAGGGGAGCTTCTTAAAGGCAAAACGAAACATTGAGCTCAAAAAACATATCTGTAAAATGCGAATGTTGGGCCGAAAAAGTCGCAAGGTGAGAAAAGAATTTAAATCGCTGTAAAGTGTCGAAATAACGGCTTTTCTGGCCTTTTACGGCTGTCAGAAAAGCGAGGAAACCAACAAACCCATAAAATAATTTAATTATTAAGATAATATTAAAATTGCTACTCATTTACATTGAAGCTTCTTATTCAATCTTTTGATTGGATACTTTTAACAAACAGAAAAAAAAAGTACTTCAATCATATTTTACCTTAAATTGAGATCTAGTTTAAAACTGCTGGAATATTCGTGAACCTATAAATGAAAAATCATCAACTTAATTGATCCATAAATATGAGTAATTTTTCATTAAGTGGCAGTCGCTGTTAAAAAAAAGCACTGAAGAAATCAACAAATTTACAAATTACATTTGTACCGAAATAACTAAGCGGTTTTTTTAAGTTTTCAAAATTCCCATGAGTCAAAACATCAATGCAAATTTGCAAGAAATCATAAATATTAATTGATGCAAATGGAAATGTGTCGCTTGTTCAACAGCCAGTTGAAGTTCAAGCTTAAAACAAAATCACCTTCATTGTTGTAATGATAAAACACTAAGTGCCCCAATCAATTGACAAACTGAACTAATTCAATTCGTGCCATCACAGAAAAAATGTACAGCATAATTGAGCAAACCCAAACCGAAATTTCACGCTCGACGCCCATCGCAACCACAAACCACGAAAAAACCTTTAATCCACATCTAAATCATGATCATCATCATCGTCGTCATAAACCCATAGAACACACGCTCACCCAAAATGAAAAAAATGTGTCTTACTAAACAAACCCCGCTTATTCCGTGTCAATTCTTCAGAGCGATCTTCAAATCCAATATAACATCTTCTCCGTCTACCGACTAGTCATCTTTTTCTTGATCTGGGTGTCTTCCCTCCTTGTCTTCACCGGAAGATTTGCTGGCAGTCTTCTTTTTCTTCAGAAATATGTCAGTTATGTACCCCACTACAGCTCAGTATTGTTAACCCGAGTCTATGTCTGGCCGTACCATGGTTATTCAGTGTATAAAAGACTCTCTTGAGAATTGGTCGGTTAGTTGCCGGTCTGGTTCAACGATTGTCGCTTCAGGCGAGTAAAAAACGCGTTTTCAACTAGATGAACTCTTCGTATTGACGCTTAGTATGATTTGAATGTTGTTCGTGTAGTTGCTGGGTGAAACATGACGTCGTACGTGAATTTCGGCAGTGAAAAAATGGACAAATTCCCCGATGTTACGTGGGAACGGGACTTTAGGCAGAAAATTCCTGCGTACAAGAACCTGTGCTTGATCAGTGCTATTTTCGCGTTCAGTGTTGGCCTCACAATAGGAATCCTCATCCCGCTGATGTACTTTAATAACTATTACAGTGCGAAAAATTCCTCAACGACCAGCCAGGAGGACGAAGCCATCAATTCTTCCGCGATAATACGGACTATATTCCTGAATAACAGTTATGGTTATGTGAACTCCTCTAAGCCTTTGAATGTCTATCCTACAGTGTCTTTTGTGGAATCGCCGCGCTCCAATGCATTATTAAGCGATAATGGCTACATAGATGACGGCATCTACTGGAGCCAGAAAGTGGAAAGAGCTCTGCCAGAAGGTTATCGTGGTCAGAAGCACACGATCTGGAGCGATTATCTGGACAAAGCGGTAGCTATTCGTCTAGAAAACGGCTGCGGTCGCATGCAGAACCGTTTGGTCACCTTCCAAGATGGCCTGAAGGGCTGTGTTCGATACAGGCAAAACACTGATCAGATCCAAGGTGAACTGTTTAGCTTCTACTTGGCGCAGATCCTCAAGCTGCCCAATTTGGCACCAAGTGCAGTCAGCATTGTGGATTTAAGCGCTCCCCTTTGGTCCAATCTGCACAACGAAATCGCTTCAGCCCAATGGAGCTCCAATAGACCCATCGTGCTCACTCAGTTCATTTCCAACTTGAACTCGGCCAACATTCCGCCAGTCTTCAAACCTCTGGAACGCCACCTGAATAAGTTTGACGTGATGAATATGACCAAGAACCCGCTGGTGGATCAGAACGACCTGCTGAAGAACCTGGTAGAGCTGGCTCAGTGGTCCGATTTGATCATTTTCGACTATCTGACGGCAAATTTGGATCGGATCGTTAACAACCTGTACAACTACCAGTGGAATGTTAACATCATGGATGCGCCAGCCCACAATCTGGCCAGGAAGAGCGACAGTGAACTGTTGGTGTTTTTGGATAACGAATCCGGACTGTTGCACGGTTACAGGCTGCTGAAGAAGTACGAAATCTACCATTCCATATTGTTGGATAACTTGTGCGTGTTTCGTCGGCAAACTGCCGATATCATCAAAAAACTCAAAACCGAACTCAACATCGGGACTTTATTGCGCGATATGTTCGAGAAACAGAACAGTGCATCTGTTAAGGACATTTTGCCCACATTGCCAGACAAAAGTGTGAAAATCCTGAACGAGAGGATCGATCGGGTGTACGGGCAAGTAATCAAATGTGAATCGATATTTTCGGATACATAGCGGCGCCAGTGCCTTTAGGAATATTCAAATTTTCAAATAATGCCATAACGAGAGTTTTGAGGAAGAGGTCCGAACCGCATTAGCATTTTTTCGACATTAATAAAAGACATTTTTATTTAAATTGCATGTCGAGAATCCTGTGGTTTGTGGTTGTCGATCTGACAGTGCGAGTTTGTTTGTTAGGTAATTTATTTATTTATTTTTAATAAGTCCAAACGATGAATCTCTCCTTGATGCAATATAGAAGTTACGAATGTTTCGGTATGCTAACCTCTATAAATCATTCAGTTAGAGCTCGGGAATTTTGTCTTCTTGCCTGAAACAAGTTTCGACCGGTACAGACCTTTATTGGAAGAACATTCGTCACGTCAATCACCCTTAAGGTAATTCAGAGCCTCAACATTAATTTTTATCAATGAAAACTTGTAGACGTTGGCAATACTTTAATGTTAACCTGAAGTGAGATAGGATATAGGTGTTATATCATGGGCGCACATATGGAAATATGGACGCGCATGATGATTTTCGTATTGTAAATACGCTTTATTGGTCTTTTGAAATGTGATATTTAGTGATCCTCATTGCGATCCGAATTCAAGTATACTATGTACATTTTGTGATTTTTGTTTTAAATTATTATTATTATTATTTTAGACCAAATATTGAATGATGTAAATGTCCTTGTAAATACTTGTACATTTGAGCGATGTATAATTATGTAAATAATAATTAATATACAAAATGAATTTCTAAATAAAAAACTGACGATTTTAAACCAGCTGCGTTTCCTTTCAATCGGCGTTTATCCAAACAAGTGATGCTTTTTCATGAAATGTGACAAGGAAAAATTAGCCAACAAGGATTTATAAATTATGCGATCTCCGGACCCAAGCAAATTATTCAAATGAATATTATTGTTCAGGTTCAGAACTTCATAAGCAGGCTATAAAAAATGGCCAACAAGATAACATAATTTGGAAACATAAAAATGCAATTAACTTTGATCGGCGGTATTAATTTATTGGTCTGACATAGACTTTTATATCAACATTTGAATTTCAAGTATTTTGGAGAGCGCTTCTCTTACTGATTTAAATGCACGGTTCCTGGAAGGATGATAACTGAAGAAGAGGTCGCGCTTGTAATTCTCAGTTAATTTAATGGGTGTCTTATCAGTTATTGAACATGCTTGTGGGCAACAGTTGCTCAAACACGTTGCGAATCATTATATACCTATTGTTCAACTTTCAACTGTTAACTTTTCTTCGGAATCAACCAAGCCTTTTCGAATTGATAAAGAATGGCCATTCATTTTTTTCTACCTTTCAGTGTCTGGTTAATCATCTGCGATTTTCAAACATTTTACTTTCACAGGCTGATTATCAACTTCACACCATAAGAGAATCATTTGAAAATCATTGAATGTGTGTAGTGTTTGTTTCAAAATAAAGGCGTTTTTTCGATTTCGGCTATAGGCATTTTCCTTCACTTCTGTTTAATACAAAATTTAATTTACCGTACAGACTACAAAAAAGGCGCTTTTTGACATGTATTTTTGGAAAATGCGTGTAGGTTTTCAGTTAGTTTTATTATCAATCATCATCGGCTCTCTCTGGTAAATGCGCCACTTAGAAACTAAAGTTTCTTCGTTATCACTATCAAAACTGTGTAGTTATTCGAATACGGAACTGGCAATACGTTCACTCAACCTATTTCTTAGATATTCATCAAGTTATTCTCTATGCAATATGTAATGCTCGATTTAATATGTCAGATCGGTCAAAGCCATTATTTCGTTGCTCGGCCATTGAAGTTTTATTCATGCGGTTTTAGCATTTTAATAAATTAACTGCGGCATATGCAGGGCAAAAGTATGACAATTCGCAACATTTCTGATCTTCTTGTAAATTTTTATTGTTTTTTACTTTTCAATCAGGGTTTGCATCTCAAATCGATTAAAAATCTTAATACTTCGCGTTCGCATTTAGCAATTTTATTTGCATTGTCTCGCACTTTCCGAACATTAAGAAAACTGTTAAATTTTAAAACATATTCAGCTGTTAATATCAATGGTTTGAGGCAAGAATTCCTTACAATACCTTTCCTGGATTAACATTAACAGGAATATTTATATGATTTTGCAGCAAGCAAGTTTTTAAGATAAAACAACAGAATATAATCGAATAAATGGTAAATATTTCCTTATCCATAAGAAAGTCAAATTCATATAAAACAATGTAATTTATATTTATAGAACTGATTAGTTGAACGAGAAATTTGTGAGTTTTAATGCCGATTTTGGAAATTATTAAATCCGCCCGGCGTTTGAAATTGAGTTGTTTTATCGACAGTTTTGAGGGTTATAAACGGCGGTACCTTTTTTTATTGCTTAACCAATTTTAAGACTTCAATCAATTTTTTAAATTGTTGCTTAATCCCCGTCGTTTTTATGCAAATACGTTTACCTTCTAATTTCCGTTACAAGCAGTAATTTTCTCGATATTTGCCTTTGAGTGTTTAATGCTTGCAAATATGTGGTATGGAAATCAGGTTTTTCGACGGTATTTTTTTCAGTTTTTATATACCCAGGTGTACCAAAAGTACTAAGCATAATCGTCAGATAGGAAATGAGTCATTCGAGTATACTTTTCCAGTGAAGCATTGCGACGAGCCAATTTTCAAGTCAAATTTCTTCGGATCGGACAGAACTCATTCTTTGTTTAGAGCCACGAATATTAAGTTTGGAAATAAAACTTTTTGAAACCAGCAAAAATCAAATTTACAGACGCTTTTAAAATTTAAAATGAACCATCCCAAATTCGGGTTGATTTAAAATTTTAAAAGCGTCTGTAAGTTTGCTTTTCGCTGGTTTCCAAAAATTTTAATTTTCAAACTTAATACTCGTGGCTCTAAACAAATAATTAGTTTTGTCCGATCCGAAGAAATTTGACTTGAAAATTGGCTCGTCGCAATGCTTTTCTATACACTCAACCTAAAATAATGTGAGCAATAAAAATGGCAAAATATAGACGGTCCGACGGTTTAAAAACTTGAAACAAGCAGTGTATGTTTTGCTGCTGCACTGATGACGATTTTCAACTTGTAAAAATGTTCAAGATGACAACAATTATTCTGTAGTGAAATGTTTGCATATCTGAACCACTCTGAAGGGTATTTATTTATGCAGAACCGTAAATGAACAACTCCGCGCATAATTTACTGCTAAAAATGTTGACTTTTGCAATCTTTAGATGTTAATGACTTAAACGTTGATTTGTTCTCATGCCATATTCTGGCCAAGTAGGGGCGACGAAGAAAAATATTTTCTAGCCGTTCCTCCTCAAGCTCCAAGTTCATATACTTCATATCATTCACATTTTAATGTCGTTTCAACTAATTTCTAAGCTATAAAGTCATCAACGACAATTAAGTGATGTTACAGAGCCATAAATTACCGATAAGTAAAAAATGCCTTTGAAACCGGCCTACGTTCGAGGAACATGGAAAAATCAGAAAACGAATGGCCTATTAATTCTGACAAAATATATCTGAACCGGTGATGAATAGATCTGAATGAAGATTCGTTTTCTGTTTTACATAATTTGAATATTTCTTAGGTCGACGACTAGGGAAGCCTGAATTAAACAACTTAAGCCTGTCCAAACTGTTTTTGTCTTCAGAGTGTGTTGCAACTGAGAGGTGGACGACCTTTTATGGAGTATTTATTCGAAATTGAAATCAACTTCTTGAAAAGTATTCGAAGGTTTCAAGTTAAACTGTATTAAAAAAACATGGTTTCTTCTGAACACAATTGCAAATAAATAAACTGAGCTCAACTCCCAAAGGAAAGGATTTGGAAGGAAAATGCCGAATGTTATTTGATAATAACTGATTTAAGATGGTTATGATGATGATCTGAATGAGCATACAAATTCCGGCCAGCATATCAAACGCACAATTCAAATGGCTTATTTGAACCCGTGATTATCCTATAAATTTTGCCATTCACAGGAGAAAGCTCGTTTTTATGACAACAGTTGTTGTGAAGTTGCTCTCAACATGGTGATTCGGATTCATTTGGTGCTGTTTTATCGTCCTGTAGTTTTCACGGACGTTAATATTCTATTTTCCTCCTTAAGTAACAATTACATCAGATAATACTTAGAAGGTCAGCAAAGTACTGGCAAAAAAGCGAAGCACAGTTAGATTTTTATTGTTATTATCTCTGCATGTAGTTCTTCGAAATTGGTAATAGCTCTGCTGCACTATATGATACCGAATTCCTTGGCTCTTCGAGCTTATGGCGAATAAAGTGAAAAACTACTATTACCGTTTGATGGCTTCAGTTGCCATTTTGTTATGGGCTCTATGTATCTTAGCTTCTAACATTTATGGCACAAGTTTCCCACATTGCCTTTCCTCCATTTGGAGTTTAAGAAGTAGAGGAAGGAACTGCACTCAAATTATGCAAAACACATTAAAAATAAAGCTTTTCTTTGCATTTTGATTGGGAGTAAATATACAGATACGTATTTGATGTTTAGCCAGTGGCATGAGTTTGAAACTTTACTCTAAAGGAAACAAATTTCCAAAGGTACAAAAGAGTGAAATAGTCGCAGATGAAAGAGCTTTCAACTAAAGAATGTTTGATCGTTACTCACCCTTTAATGATTTCGCCGTTTTGAGCTTGAAGTYGGAATCAAATGTTTACTGAAATAACAGAAAAACCAAAATTAGTTACAGTTTCTCCTTTTAATGGTACGTTCTACTGTGGAAAGTAACCAAGTTCCTGAAAGCAAATCGTAATCAGTCTGCAGAAATTTAAATTTTAGTCCTGAAAAGTTTTAAAAGGTCCTGAAAAACCCTCGTTGAGTCCCAGTCTGCTGGCAGAGAATCTCCGACAAAATGTGGACAATCCGAAGTAAAAAATCCTTATTTAAATAAACTGAACTGTTTCCGGTATCGAAGACGTTCGAGATTAGCCATCAGGCCGGTGTATCTGTTATTTAGGTCCATAAGCTTGAAACGGAGTCGATAAATTATAGGCGTAGGCTTGGTAGAGTGTTAATTTATTTGATAGTAAAAATCAGTTTATGTGAAGAGCTCAGGAAACTACTGTACGCCTGATTTGAATAAATGTGCCTTTTGGATTTTCAGGTTGACTTGGTTACAGTTATCATTTGCAGATCAACGCTCTTGTATTTCCACATCAACAAACCGTTTTACTTGCCTGTTTTGCCAGTCGCAAACGATTCCTTTCAAAGGAAAATGTACATATTTTTTGCCAAAGTATACAATAACTTCTTATTATCAATGCCAATTTTCTTAGCCAATGTTGTAACCAGTAATCAAAATATTAAGGAAAGTACTTCATACAGAGGCACAAATAATTCAGCTACCATTTGTAACAAACAACGTCCAAACYTTTGAGTAATAATATGTTTCAAGAACTAATCTACTCTATTTTGCTCAAATATTTTGCATACTTTTTAACAGCTTCTCAGGCAAGAACATGTAAAATAAACGATTTTTTTCAGTCATTCACAAAAAAACCATCATTAACATTTAATTTTTATTCATTTTCCTGACTGCGTGTAATTGTTATTATATTCTTTAATTTTCAAGTCCATACTTGTCTAACACCATGTATTTAGCAAAGAACTACACTTTTACTAAAATTGAGTTATTTGCCTTCCTCTAAAAATCAAACGATCTCACGCCCACTAAACTCCCAATGATTGGAGTTGTTCATTGAAATTTT